GGTTCCAGTCTAGGAGCAGGTCTGTGAGCCATACGTGCCATCATCGGTCACATGACTAAGAAATGCATCATATGACAGATGAACTAGGCTCTGTCCTATGTCAAGGCTGGAAATGTATCATCTGATCCATGGCTCCTTGGTGGTGATCTTAGCCCCAATCCATTCATGCTACTCAATCCTGCTGAACTTTAATGGCCCACTGCCTGCCCAGAAGCTCTTGAGGATTTCCTGGTTCTTTCGATGTCCTTGGGAAAAGAGCAGACGATGCAGTAGTTGGGATTTCCCAGGAGGCATCCGTGCCCTTAGCAAGAGTCAGCCTCAGCATCCTGCACCTCTACCCACAGCCAGGCACTGGGGGAGGATCTCTAATCTCTGGCCGTTGGTAGTGGCTTCTGTTAGCCGAGCCTCTGAGCGACCTTCAGTAGCCTCCATTGGCTAGGGAGTCCTTTGGTGGTCACTAGAGAGGACAGCCATGGGCTCTGCTCCACGGCCTGCATGTTCTGCTCTCCCGGAAGCTTGCTCTGCAGATTCATTGATTCCTTCAGCCGGCAGTGACGTCACTGCTCCTGCCGGCCCATGCTGTGGCTCCTAAACTTTGCTTTCATCCTGAGGACAGCAATGCCAGGCACAGCACCTGCTGGGCCAGGCATGACACTGAGCATCTGTCTTCAGGGAGTTTGCGTGCCAGGACAGGGTCAACAGGACCTTCAGGGTAGTGCACTCGGCGTTGTGATCACGCAGAGAGCTGAGATGAGAACAAGCAAGGACCGAGACAGCCCAGGGGAGGCGGGAGGAGGAGTCTAAGTCCCCATCATCATTCAAACCTCCCTGACTACTCGGTTGCTGCAAATGTCTGTGGTAATTTTGTGTGAAGTAGAGACATGCCCTCTCTCCGGTTGGACTGACCAGCGGAACGCAGGCGCCCTGACTGCTGTAGACTTGTGCATTCTCCGTCTAAGCAGAAGGTCCTCCCTGAGAGTTCAAGTCCACTGCCTCCCCAGCTGGGTGGCATCTCCCTTGACCCCTCTGCCAGGGATCTTTGTATTGTGAGAGCAACACTGTGGACCATGTGAAACTGTGTACCTGGTCTCTCCGGGCTGAAAGAGGGTAACCCTCATGCCCTGTAAAGCTGCCAGGGCGGGGTGGGGGGGCAGCCCACTGCCAGCAGGTGCCTTCAGCCTGTGCAGTGGCCTCACAGAGCTTCAGCCATAAAGGCCCTGGGTCTTTAGTGTTCTTCAGACTCTGAAAGGAGCAGGATGCTGTCAGGCACCGTAAAAATGTGACCTTTGAAAATTTACAAGAGCCGGGGTTTAAAAAGCTGCTGTGTTAATGATGCATCCTATTAGCATCTCATTAAAGGGAAGCTGAGAGAAGCCGGCTCAAGCCCAGTGATGGGCATATAGGCCCACTCTGCAGAGCTTATAGGGAAGGCTGTTCTGGCGGGCCTCTCCTGATGAGTACCGCCACGGTCCTGGAGCAGAAGCCAGGGCCAGGGAAAGGCAGAAGGTCTCTGTCGGGGTGGCTTCCCAGGTGCCCCAGAGAATGGCAATAGGAGGAAGTGAGACCTTGCTCACCCACTTCTGCCCTATGGCTGGGAAGCTGGTCTTTCTTATGCTCGCAGCCCACCCTGTACCCTGACCCCTGCTCTCCTTCCCTAAGGCTGGTCCTCGCTCAAGCTGGGAGCAGCCTGGATTGCTCCTAGGGATTCCAGATGTGTGGGAATTCAAAACCATGAGAGGGGAATTCAGAGTTACAGTCACAGACCCATACAGGGTCGGTCCCAAGGATCTCTAGAATTCGCGGTCTGCACGCAGTTATTTGGGGCCTAGAACTGTTGGCAGGAGGACGGGGCCCCTCGTCCGGCTTCCTGCCTCACAGACTATACTGCGGTCAGTCCATATGTGACTCCCCTGAAAGCCCTAGACATCTCCATGGATGGCAAGCTCCTGCATCTAAGTGGTCTGTGGTCAGTCCACTTAGGAATCACATGGAAGCCCTGGGCCTCTCAGCAAAGGGCATGCTCCTGCATCTAAGTTGTTTGTTGACAGATTCAAGAAAGGAATATTTATTCACTTGATTGCTTTAATAAAATAAAATTCCTGAGCTGCAAATTGCTCGAAGCTAAAGATGGTGCTGAATGGGAGTGGTTTTGTTTAATCATTCCTGAAGGGGGCGGGCAGGATGGACTTGGGTGTGGCTTTTTTCAATCTCAGAAACTGCATGTACTGATCATGAACCACACAGTCAAACAGGAGGCCAGGCAGCTGGGTGATCTCCCCGTGGCCGTGAGTCAGCCTATGCACACCAGAGCTTCTGTTTTGGGGTACATCAGCATTTGCACCATGCACTGGAATTCTCTGCGCCAGCTGAGGGCAGGGCGTGAAAAGGGAATCACCTGGGTCCAAATCACCACTGCCCTGGCCAAGACGTAACACAGAACCCCAGCCCAATAGTTATTTACCAAAGAACAAACCCAGGCATAAAGGAGTGACACATTGCATAAGCCTAAGGAATGTGTCAGGAAAATATGCAATTTTTCAAGTGCAGAAACTCCCCTAATTTCAGGGCAAACATTAGAATCCCCAAAGTTTTATAGCATAGAACCTGATGACCCAAACTCAAGGGGGGGGAGTTCCTGGCAGAAGTGGCAGTCTCAAGGTTTGTTTCCAGAAGGCTTCCCTCCCTGGTTAAGTTGCCGTGAGGACCCAGCAGTGCAGAAATGGTGACAGGGAGAGCATTCTGAAATCTTAAGCAAAGCTGTTGTTTCCTATCTAGGAAGCCTCTGGGACACCGGCAGCAGAGAGGGGCTGCAGCGCCCCCTCCTGGCAGAAGAGGTTTCCATCTTGTCAGCGAAGAGGCAGGCTTGCTGGCAAGGAGGCTAGGGGGCCCCAGCAGAGCTCAAAGGTGTCTTCTAACAAGACTGTTGAATAGGGTATAGCACAGACTCAGCCCCCTCAGATGCCTCTGGTTTCAGAAGCCATTTCTGTGCCTCTAACCCCACCATGAGCCTGGAGCCTGGAAGTAAAGGGAGGCAGATGGCCAGATGACTTTTGCCTCCAGTCAAGGCACATGTTGGAAGTCGCCCCTTCAGAGAACTCGAGAAAAGCCTCCTCCATGCTTTCTATGCCTCCTTACCATCGTGGCTATGTCCCAGACCCCCATTTCATATCTCACCACCCCCCTCAATCTCATCTGTGCCACAAGCAGGAATTGTTCTTTTTTTTTTCCCCCTTGGGAGACTCGCCCTCCTTTCCATGCCCTGTTCACAAAAGCGGAGCTTCTGAAGCAAGGCCAGAGGTAAAGTGCACCCTAACGTGATTACCTCTGCACTGTCCCAGGTCTCAGCGCTGCCTGGCTCCTGTTCTCCCAACAGGCCCTGCTGCAGACTCTGTGAGCCTTTGTGTGACACAGCAAAGGCTCCAGACGCCCTGCCCATCCTACTGCCCACACCTCCTGCTGTGTGCCCCATCTCAGACCCAGGAGAATCACCCCGCCCAGGGGCTCCAGGGGGAGCTCAGTCTCCAGCTCCATCCTTGGGCCAGGCTCTATGAGAAAATGCTACAAGCATTGTGGCTTTTACCTGAACACATTTCTGCGAGTGTCCCTGGAGAAGAACAACTTCCGTCCCTCATCCCAGCCCACGTGCTTCCCTGGGCAGAACTGGGTCCCCAGGAGCTGTGGCGACTCTTCTGAAAGTCACCTCCACTGAGATCCCTCCCCCCATCTGCTCCCAGCTTCTACCATAGGTTTAGGATTTGTTTTTTATTACTTATAAATAATGGCCACTGTAAAAGATTTGACATTTACAGTCCTAGCACTTTGAAGTGAGGGCTATGAAGGTCATGAGTTCGAAGGTATCCTGGAATACAAACCCTTAAAAAAAAAGAGGAAAGAATATCTGGGCATGTGGGTCAGTGGTAGTACACTTGGAAAACCCACGCAACACCCTGAGTTTGGTGCCCTGAACCATTTCTTTTGATCAGTGCAAGGTAATGTGGACAAGCAGTTACCCATAATCCTCTGACCCAGGGATAGCATCTTGCTGACATTTGGGTCAGTCCCCTCTCACACATGCTGTCCCACCACAGGATGGTTTGCATAGGGAGGTCACATGGGTGTCATCTTGTGGCCCTGCTTTTCTCATCAACATCACAGTGGGAGGGAGCGTTTCTGCCTTCTCAGTATGAACTTCTAGAAAGTATGCTTCCCAGTAGCCAGTGTTCCATCAGGACTTAGCCCAGGGGACCACTCTCGCTTGATATCTGCTTCCATTCTGAGCATCCTGTCTTTGTACATCTGTGCAGCTAAATCAGAAGGTGAACTCACACAGCAAGCAAGTCCCCTTACTGCTCTGAGGGGCCATGGGGTCCCTCCTACCTGGGGGCATGATTTGGCCTGACCTGTCCTACCAGCTTCCATCACCCCTCCCTTCCTCCATGGGATGCCAGGGTCTCAACAGCATGAGTTGGAGCAGGATGGAGATTGTGTGGTGGCCCTCGTTTGCCATCTCGTTAGGAATTCTCAGTCAGCAGCTGCAAGTGAAAGCCCTGGGCATCTGGCGGACCAAGACTGAGTGGGTACAGTCAATGCTCAGCCCATACCCTGGATAAGTGGGTAGCATTTGGGATACGGTGGGTTACTGACAGTCTGAGGACTGAGGTGTCCGCACACCGGACCACAACTTGCTCTCTTCAGTTGCAGCGGTTCTCCTAGGATAGGCAGCAGCGGGAGAGGTCCCTGGCAAGGCACTGGCTTGGAGTCCTAGAGGCCAGGAGCTCACCAGAGGCCAACATCCCGTGATCCTTGCTGGGAAGGAAGCAGTGGTCCCAGCATTAGTGGGACTGGGTGCAGGCTATCTCTCTCTCTCTCTCTCTCTCTCTCTCTCTCTGCCCATGAACCAAGTAGACAAAGCTCAGGCTCCAAAGGTGTTGCTGAGGGGACGGGTTCCAGGCAGAGTCCTGGGAAAGTTTATGCTCACCATTGTCATCTATTTCCCACAGGCTCCAGGCATCTCCAAAGCTGACAATCAGTCCCAGGGACTCACGACCAGCATTCGATGGGGCCAGACGCCCATCAATCAGTCCACACCCTGGGACACTGATGAGCCGCCCTCCAAACAGATGAGGGAGAGCGACAATCCAGGTGCGTGTCCATCAACTGACAGAGACACCCACTTGCTGGATGCTCTGCTCTTCTCCAGAGGTCCTGATCCATGAGTCTGTAGAAGTCCAGATATCAGGCTTGGGATGTGTGGGACCCCAAGCTTCTCAAGTCGCATGTCCAGGGAGATTTTGCCTTGCCCGTGGTTACATGAGCACCAGGGTGCTCTGACACCCCCCCCAGGACTGGGATTTCCTCCTTCCACAGCATTTTGGTCCTCCTGCTGACAGCTCTGACCAGAACAAAGGACCTCCCACTGCTCCTGGTGCTCCCCACCCCTGCCACCCCACTTTGGTACAGATACCCAGAGATATGCCCCCCACCTTAGCTCCATGTCTTCTTCCAGGCAGATAAATACCCCAAACCCTAAAGCTTGTAACTCCAGTCCCTTTCTGTGTCCACTCACTCTGTGTCCCTCTAAAGTGCAAAGCCACACCCAGTGCGAGCATCCCACTTGGTGCCTCACCAGCACTCACAGCACCTCCAATTGGTCGATACGGCCCCAGAGCATAGCCACTCAGCCCACAGACATCATAGCCTGTCCCAGCAGTAAAACTCAAGTTTGTCACAAGGCTACCTCTTCAGGATTGGGTTTAGGCAGCTGGGTTTGGGGACCCAAGAGCAGGTCCCTCCACTCTCTCCCAAATGGGGCCACTGTGATCTCAAACTCTGGTTTTGGGGGGTGTTTTCTTTTGTGTGTGTGTGTGTGTGTGTGCTCTGTTCCCAGTTCCCCCAGAATTGTGTCCTACATAGAGCATCCCAGTAGCTTCCAAGTCATTGATTAGAAACAGTGATCAGGGCTTTCTGTGAGTGGCCAAAGACCTCTCTGTAGGTCCCCAGCCCCTGTCAGGCATTCATCTCATAAAAAAAAAAGAATCATCTCCTTGGCATAGCATCTTATGGCTGTCTGTGGCCTTGTCAGCCAGGCTCTGCATTTAATGCATCTTCCCAGACTCCCTGGCCAGTCCTGGGGAGCACTGAGTTTGGGGTGACAGGCCTTGGTCTTAAGACATCCAGCTGTACTGGCTTATGTTGCTATCACCTCCCCTGTTTAGCTTGGACATGGTCCATCCCCCCACCCCACCCCTTAACCCCAGCAGCCTATTCTAGAATCTAGCCAGCAATGCGTTGCCAATGTTTCTTGGCTTGCAGTTTCCCTCTCTCATTGCGCGAATCATAAATATTTCTTGCACCTTATTGTGTGCCTTGTTCTGTGTGTGCTCTCAAGGCCTGTGGCTGTCCCAGACACTGGTATTATTGTACCTACTGCAGATGAGGAAACGGGACGTGGGAAAAGCATGTGTGTCACACTCATCTGGAACCAGAGTCAGGACTCAGAGCTGGTTCATTCTGACTCCTCGCCCTTTCTCAACGCCCCCTGCTGGTTTGAGTGTCCCTTTGCCATTTGGGCTCCTGCCCTCCCTCATCATCTGATGTCTGATGTCTGAGAGGGGGCTCCTAGTCTCCTGTCTCAATACCCCGGTTCTCAGTCTACACCCAAACCCCAGCAGAATCATGGAAACCAAGGTTGGACCAGGACAATGGAGGCCCAAGCCAAGATCTGTTAAATAACAGGTGACCAGACTAGACTTCTTGTCATTGTATCTTCCAGCTTTGTCACAAGTCATTCTGGATTACTTCAGTGTCAGTTAAGCTTCAGGTAGACCCAGACCTTGCTCTGCCTGACCTGGGTATCACCGGCCTTTCATCTTGTATCACATCCTCAGAGGTTGTCTGGCCTTCCTTGTTCCCCTAAAATTACCTTAACCGCCGAGCTGGGCTCCTCCTGTTTCTAACATAGCTAGCTGTGTGGAGGGTGTGTGAGACAGGGCCTGGAGTCCCCTCACATCTTCCAGGATTTCCCAGACTCCATCACGTCTTTCCAGGTGCCTGGTAAACAGCTTGTCATCTTCCGAGGACCACTGTCCTCGCCTGAAACACTGTCCACTGCCAGCCTTCTCTTACCTCCGTCCTGTCCACTACAATACATAGGCAACATCTACCACAAGTTTGACACACTGTTGGCTTTGATTCCTCGAAAATATGCTTTCTGCCTTCAGCCCCCAGTCCAGATTAAAGCATGTGGCCCGGAGAACTGAAGCAACTTGCCAGGGCTCTTAGCTCGTAGGTAGAAGGGCTGAAATGAGCATAGGTCTCTTTGAAGGCCTCCGATTTTTCTCTCTCTGCTTTGTTGTGTCTCATTTCTCCCAAATAGATCTTTCTTCCTTCTCTGTATTCCCACAGTCATTTGTCATTTGTTCATATCCTCTATAAAACCTAGTCCTAGAACTATCACTACACATTTTTTTTGAGACAAAGTCTGATATGTAGCCTTGGTTGACCTGAAACTCACTGTGTGAAACAGAGGAACCTCAAAGTCATAGAGATCCGCTTGCCTATTCCTCCCCTCCGGAGTGCTGGGGTTAAAGGCATGTGCCCCTAAACCCTGCTTTATCACATTCCTAAACTGCTGAGTGCTTGGACACAAATGTCTTAGCCACTGTTGTTGCTGCAGGTCCCAGCCCGAAGCCTGGGATAGCTGGTATTTGCTGAATGAATAAGTAACTGGCAAAGTAACATTTCTTCCATCTCCCTTACAGGCACAGGGCCATGGGTGACTACGGTGGCCGCCGGGAACCAGCCTTCCCTGATTGCACACTCCTATGGAGTGGCCCAGCCTCCCACCTTCAGCCCAGCTGTGAACGTCCAGGCCCCGGTCATCGGGGTGACTCCCTCACTGCCTCCCCATGTGGGGCCCCAACTCCCGCTGATGCCAGGCCACTACTCGCTCCCACAGCCGCCCTCTCAACCACTGAGCAGTGTGGTGGTGAACATGCCTGCCCAGGCCCTGTACGCCAGCCCTCAGCCCCTGGCCGTATCCACTTTGCCTGGAGTGGGACAGGTAGCCCGCCCGGGACCCACTGCTGTGGGCAACGGCCACATGGCAGGGCCCCTGCTGCCTCCACCTCCGCCTGCCCAGCCATCCGCTGCTCTTCCCAGCAGTGCTCCTGCCACCAATGGGCCCCCCACAACAGACTCAGCCCCTGGGCTACAAATGCTACGGACCATTGGAGTGGGGAAGTATGAATTCACCGACCCAGGGCACCCTAAAGGTAAGTCCTGTCACACGCCACACTGTGTGTCTGGTCTGTACCTCCCTGCCTGGTCACTCCAGCAGTGAGGACAAGCGTGTTTATGGTAGCTTTTTCATTGACCGCATCGAGCCAGGAGCAGAAACTCCCTCTTTAGGTGGGGTGATACAGGCAGAGCCCCAGTGTGGAGATTAAGATAAGCAACAGCAGGACTCATAGAGCAAGAAAAAAAGGCGGGGAGGGGAGCCTGAAAGTCAGAGCCCAGGCCATGCTCACCCCAAGCCAGACCAAGGCTACATGGAGCAAGAGCTACCTACTCCTCTTAATGGTCACTTGGACAGTGCACGGAGACCTTTACCGCTTTCTCTCCATAAAGACATCCAAAACACTATTCGCCTGTATCTGTCAAGACAAGTCGTCTCCACCACGCTATTGATAAGGGCTGGACCAGGACCCGGGCTCGCTCCTACCAAAAACAGGTTTCTGTTTTTGAAGGACTGAAGGGGTCTCTGTGAGTCCCTGGGAAGAACAGCTCTGGGCTGGCCTTCAGGGGACCCTTGACCCCAGACCCTAGCCCTAGGGGAGTTTCCCTGCAAAGAGCTCGGAGGTAGTTCCTTGGGAACATAAGCTGGGGAAGGAAACACACCACCGCACACCAACATGGTTCTTAGCACAAGCCTCAGCCTCAGCATCAGGGCACAGAACATCAGAGGTAGGTTCTAGTCCCAGTGTTTGAGCGTGACAGCAGGGCCAGGGCGGAGAAGCGAGGCTTTGAGAGTGCCTGTCTTAGAATTGCCTTTCCTTGATGTAGGGACATTGCCAGACAGCTCAGGTCCTGATCCTGCAATGTGCAGAGGGAAGGTTATGAGGCCCCCACCGGGCTAGGCAGCTCCTGGGACAGGAGGAGGCAAGAGGGTCTGTGCCGAGCACTTTAGCCTGCTAGGGTACCCGTGTCTCCTTCAACCGGGCCAGTAGGTGGTGCTAGATAGTATACATAACTAGCCAGGGCTTTTCCTCTGAGCCCCTGAAAGTCCATCTGGGGCCCCTGCGTCTTTGCAGAGCAATGCTGCCGTTAGTCACTCTCTGCCCGCTGTTCTCCAGACATTTGCCACTGTCCCTCAGAGCCATTCTCCAGTCTTTCTGAGAAACCCTCACCACAAAGCCGGTGCCTAGCTCCCTGTGGGGTTTCATTCCCAACTGTGTGAGCTCCAACGGCCTTTGTTTGGGAAATCAGCACTAGTTTTAAGTGACAAAGTTATAGACAATTACATCTGGAATCTGACAAACTCTTGCTCTGTTTAAAATTTATTTTTTATATATAGAGAGACTAAATTGATTTCTTCTTTGAACTGTTTTGGTTTAGCAACCCCTCTCTTTAAGAAAAAAGAAATCACCCCCAGAAGAACAAAAGCATACACACACACCTGTGGGATCCCAGCTGTCCAAGGCTATCCCAAAGCTAGAAGCATTAGGCAGCTTTAGTGTTCCCACAGGGAGATGCCTGCTAAGTTCTCACTGGCTTTTCAAGTTCCAGACATATATCCAGAGAAAAGACACTGTACAGAAGGGAACCAGCTTAGCTAGCCCTAGTTTCCTGGTCTAGGGCTGGACATTGAGCTAGAACCCATCTCTCTGAACATTGCTAGAAGCAGGATGCCCCTGAACACCCTCACCCTTGAGATGGGTGACACAGGTTGGTAAGGTCCAACTCCTGAGCCTACTAGGTCGTTGAGCTATGCAGAGCTGCACCTGGGACAGCTGCAGAAGGCCAAGGAGCATGGCCTGACTTCTGTGGCCCCAAGCCTTACAGGGCTGTGTGGCCCCACGCCATTCACTATACCAAGCCCCATAGGGTAGACTGGGTCTGGGTGAGAGGCAGAAAGCAAAACTAAAAAGTATCTCCTGCATCTTCTGGGGAGCCTTTGGGGTCTTGCAGCCCTGGCCAGTGACTGTAGATGACCTGTCCACACTCTGCTTTCCACTGGTGTCTGCCAGACCAACTGTGTGCCCAGAGATTACGTTCATTCACTTATCTGTGTATGGCCCTTGCCGGCTGGCAGATCCCCCTTGTATTTGTGAAGGAAGACAAGGAACCTGAGTGTGGGTGTTTTTTTTTTTTAAGGTAAATTCTCCTTTCACTTCTAATCTTAAAAGCCTTTATTGCTGAAGCTATAATTTATCTGTCAGGTCTACTGTCAAACAACTACATTTAAGGGGGAAAAAAATAAGAAACCCAAATTTTGAAACCAAATCTTTGCAACTTGCCGTGGGAGAGTCATCATGATGACGGCTCCACGTGGGTTTGGATTTGGGTCACTTTTAATTTTGCCCCTCTGGATTTTACATCCCTGAAACTCAATTGATTTCACACTCCTAAATGACAGACAGCTGGCTCCAGGCGGGAACAGGGCACCACATGACGTTATCAACACAAATCAGAACTCCACTTTAAAAAACAAAAAAGGGAATGAAGAAAAAGAGAAGAATTTCCTTTTTCTGCTAGTGTCTGTCTGAAACCTTGCCCAGCTTTATAATAAGATCCACCATGCACGATCTAGCTCATTACAATCCTGTGATTTTTTTTTTTTTTGCCTTACTATTGTTTGATGAGACAACCTGGCCTCTTGTGGGGTTGAGTAATTATGCAGAGAGATCCCCCTCCACGAAGAACAGGTCTTGCCAACCAGAGGGATGGGCCACTGGTATTTTTAGACTTCATTAGTGCCCTGATTTAAAATTTCACATTTTGTTTCTTGTAATTATCTTCCGATCGACTGAACGAAATTTTCAGTCAAGGTTCTATTAGTCCGCCTTCCCAAAAAAGGGCTTTGGGACTTTAATTTAAAACTTAACCAATTGAAAAAGAGAGGTGGTGTGCAAAATGCCTTTTGATTTGCTGTAGGTCAAGCGATTGTCTCTCATCTGTGACTAGAGAAGCCAGCATGCCTGCAGTTTGCTTTAATGAGTGTTATTTAAATGCATTGAGCACATATAGATTTTCTTAAGAAACTTACAAGATAAATCTTTCTTTCTCTAGGAACAATTTGAGGGTGGGAACAAGCTGTGGATTTTTTTAGATTATATATTGAAAGGTAATTAAAAATAGATTTCATGTGTGCAAAGTGATAAGGGAAGAAAACGGAATTAGTTCCATGTGAATCTCTATAAAAGACCTGGTGTGTTAGTCTTGTCATTAGATGGGCACAGACCCTGGGATGATCCTCTGGGAGAAATACAGCCAAACTCAGGCCTATGTGGAAACCCAGGTCTATTGACCCTGTTCCTAGAGCTCCCTGGGAGGTCACAGCCAAGGTTCCGGCCTGGGGCACGGTGATTTCTGCTTTCATCAGGGATTTTTGGTGGCTTAGACCAAGGCTGGGAGCCTCTAAAATCCACAGGCCCTGGTCCCAGAGGCTGTCTTGTTTTCTACATGAGTGTCTGGGGAGAAACAAGCTAACAGCACCTGCTCCCTCTCTTGCGGAAGAGGGACATGTCTGTTCTGGTATAGACACTGGGTATGATGTAGGGGCCATGATGAACCATCTGCAGAGTTTGGCTTCTCTGTCCCAGGCCCAAGGAGCTACATGATGCAAGAATTGTCCCGCCCCTTTCTGTGGTTACAATTTCTCTCCTCCCTTGCATCTGCATGAACCACAGCTACTTCAGCTCTAGCAGCAGCAAAGACAATCTCCTAGGATATGCTGAGGTGTGTGGAATAGCTCTGTCACCAGAGTAAGCCTCTTGACCTCTCTGAGCCTCCCCTACCTTCTCTAAGGAATGGTATCAGAGTGTCGTGGTTCTTGCCTGTCATCCCAGCACTCAGAGTGACTGAGGCAGGAGGACTGCCGTGACTACAGTGTGAGGTCCATCCAGCTCAGCCTGGGCCACAGAGTGAGTCCCTGCCTCATAAGATCAAACATACATATATACATATATACTATATATAATACACAAAATGAGAATAGTTACACTACCCCTCTGGAGTCCAAAGGAGGACCTAATGGGAATTGTGACCATCCCTCACCCCTTGCCTGCTCACTACACTGAAGTCCACCCCAGCACCCTGTCCAGGGAGTTTAGCAGCTGGGCAGGCCCATCCAGTGATCACAAGGTCCACAGTCCTGTGGCCAAGCCTCTTACTGTGAGATGGCATGAGTTACTTTCTGGCAGAGGATGGGAGACTCTTCCCTCAGATATGGGGCTAAGGCATATTTCGTCCCTCCTTGTCCCATACACTGAGACAAGTCCAGAACACACCCATTTTTCTGCAACCTCGTAAATACTCTGGAATGTCTGAGATGCAGGTACAAAGCCGTTTGCCCACACACTGCCAATGCTACAGTAACCCTGTCCCGCACTGTCTATCCCTTGAGACTTCTTCCTCTACCCAGGTGCCTCCATACACTACCTGCCCCAGAGCATAATGGGGTCTGAAGTTTTACCACAGTTTCCTCATCTCTAATAACGGTAGAGCTGCTTCTTATAGTTGGGGTGAGAATCAACTCATTTTACATGCAGCCCTTGGCACAGTCCTAGTACAATCACTATAAACGAGTGGTGTGATCTCTCTTTCCACCATCACCAGTACCAGGGCCACCTTTCAGCATCCGTGGTCTTCTAGGAGTTCAGGTTAATGTGACAAACCAAAGAGCAGTTTGCCTTCCAGAGTCTTAGGAGAACATGTTAACATCATGACGTCTGAAGGCCTGGTTCCCAGGGGTCCCCTTTGAATGGCAGAAAATTGCTTTCTCCTATTGTAACGTTTTACAATCCTCCACCATCACCATAACAACCAGAAGGAACCAGCCTGTTCCTGGTACCTTCCCCCTAAGTCCAAGAACTGTTCGTCTTTGAGGTGGTCCTCCTGTGTACCCTCAGCGGGGGAGGTCAGCATCCTGTGACCTTCATCTTGATATCAGGAGGCCGAGGGCAGGGACAGCGATAGGACAACTAGAGTTTCTGATCCCTACACGTCAGCTGGCCAAGACAGGGTGACTGACCAGGCGTATGTGGCTGGCAGC